GGGGGGGGCGTACGCCCATTACGCCCGCACCTGGACCCCGCCCCTGCTTTTAATTCTTCAGAATTATGTAGAATAAATATTTCAATTATCTTTGGAAAAAAAAGTTTTTAAATTGCAAGGTAATATCAACTGCGACAAATATTAAATATTATATCAATATGTTTATCAAACAACCAATATGATAAACAAACTGGCTAATATTTACTAGTAAACTTATCAATGCTTTAGTCGTAATGTACCGTGTACAATATTATGTATTTGTGTGTACACGTATACAGATAATTGTAATTAGGCGATTCCTGCATGTAACTCTTGTAATATATTAATTTTGCACATATGTTTAAGATATGTAATTCATGAGTTGCATTTACATTTTCAATGTCATAAAAATGTTTTCTGCAAACAGACACGGCAACAAATAATATATAAAACAGTAAATACTGTATAAACAGGCATTACAATTTAATCACATGACTGGCACATTAGCTACGAAATGGTAATATGTTACGGAGAAGTGTTAATAGCTTTTGATTTCAAAGTCCCTTGCATTGGTTTACAGCGGCGAAATAGAGGTGAGCTTAGAGAACACGACCGAATCAGCGATTAGAAACACTTGCGATGCACAATAGAAGGACCGGACTCGTCGTATTCTTGCTTGCTTATCCACATCTGCTGAAAAGTTGACAAAGAAGCTAAGATGGAGCCACCGATCCAGACGGAGTATTTCCTCTCTGGTGGGGCAATGATCTTGATCTTCATAGTGCTTGGTGCAAGCGCAGTGATCTCTTTCTGCATACGATCAGCAATGCCAGGGTACATTGTACTGCCACCAGACAGGACGGTGTTTGCGTACAGGTCTTTTCTTATATCCACGTCACACTTCATAATGCTATTATAGGTTGTTTCATGAATTCCAGCAGATTCCATCCCCAGGAAAGATGGTTGAAATAGAGCTTCCGGACACCGAAAGCGTTCGTTACCAATGGTAATGACTTGACCATCCGGCAGTTCGTAGCTTTTCTCCAGTGAAGAAGATGACGCAGCGGTTTGCATTTCTTGATCAAAGTCCAAAGCCACGTAACACAGTTTCTCCTTAATGTCTCTGACGATTTCTCTCTCGGCGGTGGTTGTGAATGAGTAACCACGCTCTGTAAGGATTTTCATGAGGTAATCCGTAAGGTCTCGTCCGGCAAGATCTAACCTAAGGATAGCATGAGGAAGTGCGTAACCCTCATAGATTGGGACTGTATGGGTCACACCATCCCCAGAGTCCAACACAATACCGGTAGTACGACCTGAGGCGTACAGGGACAACACAGCCTGAATGGCTACATACATGGCGGGAGAGTTGAAGGTCTCGAACATGATCTGTGTCATCTTCTCCCTATTGGCTTTGGGGTTGAGGGGAGCCTCTGTCAGGAGGACAGGGTGTTCCTCAGGAGCCACACGGAGCTCGTTGTAGAAAGTGTGATGCCAGATCTTCTCCATGTCGTCCCAGTTTGTGACGATTCCGTGTTCGATGGGGTACTTGAGGGTGAGGATACCTCTCTTGCTCTGGGCCTCATCGCCGACATAACTGTCCTTCTGTCCCATACCAACCATCACTCCCTGTAACGATATAAGCACAACTTCTGTATAATATATAATTAACACTATGTTAAATAAAGTTATGTAAAATGTATTTACCCTTTTATTGATATTCATAAAGTTGTTATATTTAAACTCTCAAAGATTTTTTAAATAATGTAGAACAATACTAGACTAGTGTTTCTCATTTGTGCTGAGTTACTGAGCAAAAAAAAATTAAGCATCATTAAGAACTTAAATCAGACAGCGCAGAATATGCAGATACGACCAAATAACCTCGATAAGGATTAAAGAAATAACATACTATTTTCTATTTGTATAGAACTTCTCTTTGAATACGGAACTCTTGACCTTAAGTTAACCGCAGAAGTAGGTTAAACCGTTAATCCGATTATGCTGTAGCTAAGATTCAATCTCATTAAACATGGCGAGCTATGGGCTTGAGTTTGTCTGGGTTAAAAGTTCTCTAATACAGTAACTATGCTCTGACATTAATCAGAATGCATAAGTACCAAGTATTTAAGCATAACGCGAATATCAATCCCTCAACAGTTTTATGGAGAAAAGCGATGGTTTTAAGTATTTTGATTTTCTCACTGTATAACGTTTTTTGTGTCTTTCATGTCAAAGACTGTTAAAACGCTCAAAGTGTGATCATATTGACGACAACACAGTTATACAGAATTAACTGTACAAGTGCTATTGTAGCGACCAAGTAGACACATGGCTATCTTGTGTGATCAACTAACCTTTAAACTTTACCCCGTGTCGTGGGTCCTCTATTTGAACTTTCACAAAGACACGGCACGGGTTGATCTTTGTGTAGTTCGTGGTATAATTGTAAATGGGGAGTTTAATTATCTGAGAGAATGTTGATCACAAAGAACGCGATCGGAACTGGTGCTGTCATTCACATATCACTAGGAAATGGGACAGTCTATCGACTACGGGTACATCTGTACTAATAGGACAAGAGTCGCCAAAGCCAAAGAAACCTGAGGCTACAAGGGTGTAGGTTTACATAACTTTCAGGTGTTCCTACGATATCGGTCAACATTAGGACCTTGTCCTCTTTAGTGTTCCTTAATCCACAAAACAACAACAACAGGCCTTTTTATGAGGTGTTTTTCTTCCATAGGAAAGTATTACGACGTTAAAAACATAAACTAAGGGTGTTACATAAACATCAGAAATGTTTTTATTATAATTATGAAAATGAATTTCCTCAAGTGCAAGATGTTTGTGAAACCGATCCTATAGGATATGGGACGACAATGTGACCTGGGACAGGTAGGATTTGGTCAACATAGCAATAAGGGACTACTACGGCAGGGTCGACATAGTAACCAGAGACTACTAGAGTAAGGGTCGACATAGTAACCAGGGACTACTAGGGCAAGGGTCGACATAGAAACAAGGGACTACTAGGGTAAGGGTCGACATAGTAACCAGAAACTACTAGGGCAAGGGTCGACAAAGTAATAAGGGACTACTAGGGTGTGGGTCGACATTGTAACCAGGGACTACTAGGGTAAGGGTCGACATAGTAACCAGAGACTACTAGGTTAAGGGTCGACATAGTTACCAGAGACTACTAGGGCAAGGGTCGACATAGTAACAAGGGACTACTAGGGTGTGGGTCGACATAGTAGCAAGGGACTATTACGGCCAGGGTCGACATAGTAACCAGGGACTATTACGGCCAGGGTCGACATAGTAACCAGAGACTACTAGGGCAAGGGTCGACATAGTAACAAGGGACTACGAGGGTGTGGGTCGACATAGTAACCAGGGACTATTGGGTTATGTGTTGACATAGTAACCAGGGACTACTGGGATATGGGTCGACATTAAAACCAGGGACTACTGGGTTATATTTCGACTTAGTTACCAGGGACTACTGGGTTATGGGTCGACAAAGTAACCAGGGACTATTGGCTTATGTGTTGACATAGAAACCAGGGACTACTGGGTTATGGGTCGACATAGAAACCGGGGACTACTGGGTTATGGGTCGACATAGTAACCAGGGACTATTAGGTTATGGGTCGACATAATTACCAGAGACTACTAGGGCAAGGGTCGACATAGTTACCAGGGACACCTGGGTTATGGGTCGACATAGTAACCAGGGACTACTAAGGTAAGGGTCGACATAGTAACCGGGGGCTACTATGGTTTGGGTCGACATATTAATCAGGGACTTCTATGGTATCGGTCGACATAGTAACCAGGGACTACTAAGGTATGGGTCGACATAGTAACTAAGGACTGCAAGGGAAAGGGTCGTCATAGTAACCAGGGATTACTAGGGAAAGGGTCGACATAGTAACCAGAGGCTACTAGGGAAAGGGTCTTTATAGTAACCAGGGACTACTAGGGAAAGGGTCGACATAGTAACCAGGGATTACTAGGGAAAGGGTCGACATAGTAACCAGGGACTACTAGGGAAAGGGTCGACATAGTAACCAGAGGCTACTGGGATATGGGTTGACATAGTAACCAGGTACTACTATGGTATGGGTCGACATAGTATCTAGGGACTACTAGGTTAAGGGTCGATAGACTAACCAGTATGGAATGTCATTGTTACCAGGGAAACTTAGGTATGGGTGGCCATAGTATCAAAGGAATATAGAGTAAATACGGATTCATTGAAATAATTTGGATTAATACAATTTTCAAGAATGTCTTGGCGGCATTGAAGTATTCCGACTACTTTAGAAAAAATAAAACTTATTGTACACAGTTTTTTGAGAACCATGCACTCTCGACCCCC